TTGACATTGAGACTTTGTAATTGGCTGAGTCTCCGCGTGAAATTTATAAGTGGCCGGAGGCGTCCGCAAGTGTACGGAAGAGAAGGAAGAAAGGAAACATATTGCAGGCGGCTGTCAATTCGCACCAGGTCACACCACATGATTCTTATGACAATTAAAGCCAGTCTCTTTTTCCCGAACAGAAGAAGGAGCAATTGAAACCGGGAATGGTATTCCATGGGGTCTGTGATTGGTGTCCTATTGTGTTTCGGAAGAACAAACATATGTTACGCTACAATCGGGTGCATCGGCGGCCTAGAAAACGAGTCCGCGTTCGCAGGCCTTTTGAGGCTTCAGACTCTCGCGCCCCGGTTGTATATATATATATATACACACACCATTTTATAACTCTATACTTATATACTATAAAAACTGGCCGCCGACCACCGCAATTAAAAACACTCTGATTGCATGTTTGCTTATACCAAAATAAGGGGGCCCTGACCCGCAAAGATGGACACCTGGGAAGAGCTTCCACGAAAAGTCGCCTAGGAAAATGCGCTCCAAAAACCTTTATTACACTTGTATCAAGCACTCAACAAAGAACTTGCAGATCTAAATTCGACTGGTCATCTTCCTTGTCCCTTTGCAAAACCCCTTATTAAACAGAAGGGCTTGTTGTGAGTTGCGCAAAATCATGCTTCCGTTGAATGATATTCTGATATCTCTGCTGGTTGATTGATTTTGCACACTTACAGGAAACCCAAAACCAACCATATTTGCGGCGACATATCTGATGGCAATGCTCTTCAAGTACCTCTCCAGGCAAAGTATCAAAACAAAATCCAACACACCTAAAACCAACATTTTCTGGAACATGTCTGATGGCAGTGCTCCTGAAGTACCCTAAAACAAACAAACAAACAATGATTTCCACACTAGTCCAAAACTGAAATCAAAGTAGTGTGGAAATTGAAGTCATTGTTCTTTTGTTTCAGGCATCTGCAGGATTAATCCGGATCAATCCAAATGACTCTTCTGCGTTGACAATGTTCAAGCTAGTATGTGAGCTGTGTGTAGATTGTAGCTAGTGGCGCTGGTTGTATAGATCTGCTTGCATGGCGTCTCTCTCCCCACGCAGCAAGATGTCTAAGTGCAACGTGTACCAGAAGCTCGTCTCCGACTACAAAGCTGTTCGAACTCCTACCTCCTCCAAATGCAGACTCTTCCAGACGAGTCCTATGATGATGGCGCTGGAAGACAAGAAGCGTCGCGTCCAAGGTTTGGAAGATTGCTCAGCTTGAAGAAGTTCCTTAGCCAGCCAATCAACTGTCATCCTGCGTGACCAAAACACCCACAAGGACATGGGCAATGGTGCGGAACTCATTGGCACTGACCAAGGCATGGGGATTCAGGTTGCTGAAAGTGAGATGCACAGTGATGATGGACATGAACCTCCCAAACCGTGCAAAAGAACCATCATCGTCTTCAACTAATTACATCATCGTTTGCCAATGAGTTGCATCATGCTCCTTCTGCACTCACGCACTCACCCACGGCGCTCACCCACCCACGCAACGAGTCACTCAGTCACTCAATCAGTCAGTCACTCACTCAAAAGGGCAGGAACGAACGAACGCACTGACTCGCTCACTCACTCACTCACTCTCTCTCTCTCTCACTCTCTCTCTCTCTCCTCAGTCACCCCTTCATTCACTCACTCAGTTGCGTTGCTTTGCCAGTTTTTGATGCTTGGTGCAGACTTGAAGCCGATAGTGAGCAAGTATCACGAGGTAAAGATGCTCAATTTGTTGGAAGACTTGAGGCTGATAGTGAACAAGTACCATGTTGTTGCACCTGTTGCTTCAAGGTGTGAGCAGGTGTGAGCATGAAGAGGCCAACCATGAAGAGGAGGCTGATCGCAGGAATAAGAGGAGCACAACAGCCTGAGGAGGAGCAGGCAGTGCAGGCTGAGGAGCAGGGAGTTGCGCAGAGAGAGCCAGAGAGCAGGCCTGAGGAGAAAGTGCAGAGTTCCACAGCAAGGTTTCTTGCGAAACTCTCTGCAGCCTGCAAAGAAGAAGCAGACTTGAGCGGCCTCCAGCAGGCCGCAACTGAATTCGCAATTCCCTCAGGACTGAGAGTTTCTTGGAAGTGTACCCTACAAAGAGGAGCGCTGCTCGGCGCCGAACCCCCATGCCAGTGGAAGAAGAGGCCTGGTGTGAAGAAGCTACCAAACACTATGTCTGAGTGGGTGTAGCAGCAAGCGAAAGCTCTGGAGGATGAGCAAGTCCTTGCAAGCAATGAAATGAGACCACGTGTGCACAAATCATGGCTTCTTCCAGGAAAAATGCTTAGTACTTCTTGGACGCTGCATGTTTGATTGACTCCTACCTCGTGGGTTAATATAGATCAATCTTACAAGCACACCCAACAAAAAGACTCCACCCATCTCCACCCAAACTGAACTTGCGTGTAGATTGATAGCAGAATAAGAAGGCGGTGACTTACGAACAAAGGTAAACTGTATTTAGGGGTCTCCGATATATTTTTTTTAACATGGGGTCTATAATGTTTTTATGTGCTTTGAAGTTGGTACTCGGGATTAGCACCCGTCAAATTTGTCACATGTTAGTTGAGGTGCAGTTCAACCCCTTTGCAATGGCAAGAGACACGAGTCTTTGGGGCTGCGCACTTAGTTCCGGATCTTGCGGTCCAATATTTTTCACATTCGCTGTTCAAACAGGCCCAGACGCTGCAAAATTTCGGCCACAACGTTGGCTGGATATGGAGGTCCACGTGATGCGGTTCCGCGAGCGACATGGTCGAGTGATGTCCAGTGATTCGGTTGTTTTGTGGGGTCGAGGCACCTCCATCATCCTATGAATATGCAGTGTTTGGCTTAAAAGGACAGAGAGAGTGATGCACCTGAGGGTATGCCTTGATCGCCGTAACTGCTAGTTGTGAGAGTCTTGAAAGTAGCAAGGTCTTCAATGCTGGACCACGAGAATGCCTGGGCAAAAGGCCTGTGGAAATTTGATGAAATTTGTAGAGTATGTGAGAATGTCCAGAATTGCACATCAATAATTGATGATGTCAGGCTTGCGTACCTTGAGCTAAAGGCGAGCACGGATCTCATCACCATGCTTCGTGGATTTTCCATTGTCGAGTTCAAAGATCGTTTTGGCATGTTTTGGCCTTCTTAGTTACTTGGTTAGTTGACAATAATGTTGTATGCCTCGCTTCACCTTGATACTTTACGCAGTTTTCATGGGATTCAATTTGGACATCACAGATCACCTACAATAGTTTCGCCTACAGAGGTGATGAACTTGCCAGATGGCCTGTAGATTGTGTTGCGGACAGCCATGTCCATGTGAATGCTCTTTCATGCACTCAAGCTTGTATGGCAAAATCATCGACCGTGTTGTCACAACTGGAGTTGTACCTAACCCCCTAGCGCCAACCGTCCACAAACCCTACACAACTATGTATGCTGTATTTACAAGAAGCTACTAGGGGCTCCTAGCATCGCTACTGGGAGCGATCGGACGCTACTAGGGGCTCCTGGCCATACTACTAGGAGCAAGAAGCTACTTTTGTTTTTTCAGGATTGACAGGTCAAAGCTTTGCAGAGCGCCGTTGACGTGAACAACAATAGAATACAATACTGTAATTAGCCCGGCTGTGGAGCAGATGGCCCATATCATAATAGTGCATAGTATATAACTGAGATTACTTTGCATCATTGCTGCGCAGTACAATCATGTTGGCTTCCCTTCTTTGCTCAGAAATTGATAGAATATCAACTGGCTATTGCTGCGCGGCGGCAAAACCCACCCACCCCTGGCTGTCCATGTGAGTTGCCCGGACTCGACCGACCGGGCGGATCCGGAGAATTTGATGTCACCAAAAGAGGTGCACTCAGTGCACAGGTGACTTGCTTTCCCGTGAGATTCACCGAGTCGGATTAGCGGCCACAGAGTCGGATTGCATCTAGGCTTGCCTCGCTCATATGTTCCACAACTTCACAGTGGAACTTGTCAGGGACCTCAGACACGAAGTGAAGACAATCTATTCACCCACAGGCATTTGTTTGATGTGGTTTTGTGTCTTTCCAGGCAATTCCTCGCGAGGAGGTTTGCGCATTGTTGCGGCCTTTCAAGTTTTCCAGCCACAAAGGTTTGTCCAATCTTCTCAACATGTAGAAGCATCCTTTGAGTATGTACTGTACATATTGTGAGCTTCTTGGGTGCAGACAGACTGGTTGCAGGTGTTACCACAATCTTCTCTAACCATTGGCTTCTTGGAAAGTTTTGTGTAGCTGAATATTGTGATACGACTCAAGGAAGAGTAGTGAAAACCTGCTAAGAGGCGATTCTACACTGAATCTGAGCAGGTGTTTTTTTTCCCTGAGGAATGAGCAGTGGACTGCCATGCCGAGTCCGTCGACGTTAAGGGCGATGCAATTCACAACGTTCTCAGTGCAGATTTTGCATCACAAATCAGCCACTTTGCAGAATCAGCAGATGATTGGGCGGCTGATGATGAGCTTCCAGTGCCAGCGGGCAACCTGCGTGAATGCACAATATTCCGAGTGGTTGTTTGCCCGCACGGCCATTTCCAAATTGACTGGACGATTTGAAAAGAATCCAGAGCTGTTCCAAAAGACCCGAAGCATTGATCCGTGCTTGCTCGTTTTCATTGAAGAAAATACGATAGAATTTTAAGTCTGTTTTGAGTCTCCAGCACCGCCACCACTGTCTAGCAGTCTAGCAGCTCCACAACTGCTCCTATATGTATCATGATTATGAGGTTGTTGTGGGCATGCCATACTTTGGCTCCAGCGGCAAGCTTTTTTTAAGGCTGGCTCAGTCCTGCCAGCAACAAGATGCATTACTTTGAAAGAAAGCTACTCACCACGGCCAGACATGAAAGACTGTACAGAAGAGCAGATTCGGTGTTGGGGATTCCATGACGACGCCGCAAACAACGACCGCAAACAATTAGCCACGATATGGATCATATTGTATTGTTTCGTTCGATCCTCCAGTGGCCTATGATGAGGATTGTGCAATTGACCACTTGCAGGCAAGACGTTCATTCACAGACATGTTCTTGCAAGTCCTATCCTCAAGAAATATTAACTATAGATAACTATAGTAACTAGACTGAATGTTTGCCTGTTTGCCCTTAGCTTGTGAATCAGTTGAGCAAGCAGGTTTCTCCCTTAGGGATTCTGCAGCTGACTCCATGCCAGGAGGGCACTTTTGTGCACAAGTGGTGATGCATCTTGCTACTAGTAGCTTCTTGCTACTAGTAGTAAGGCACTTGTTACTACTAGTAAGGCACTTGTTACTAGTAGCTTCTTGCTACTAGTAAGGTGCACTTGTTACTGTTCAGATGTGACTTGTTGCCATCTTCAGGACGTTCTGATCTGATCGATCGGATCGTCGATGGTCGCATTAACGCGGATCAGGCTGGGCGAAGATTTCTTCAGAACGCCAATTGTTGTTCCTTGCAGTTCCTTGGACCATTTGAGGAAATGTAGCTCGTTCGCACCGAGGATCTCAGTGCACCAGCAAGAAGGAAATACAGCTTATCCTCTTTGGAGGTGCACAAGGGATTCCTGGAAAGCCTTCACAGATCATCACACATCCATTCCAAGCTTGCTCAGGACTTGCCACCAAAAAGGCAAGAGAGTCCTGTACCCGTCCGGCCCAGAAGGAGAGCAGAGAGCCCCAGTACACGGCCAAGAAGTGAAGGGCAAAAGCTCAAAAGATCCGACACTTGGAACTCCGCCAGTGGCCGGAACTCTGCACGGCCAGCAGCTGTACCGAAGCTTCAGATGCCTGGAGCAACAGCAAGCGGAAGTCGTCGAGGTTCAGAGGCTCCAAAGCCAAAACGAGCAAATCAATGTTCCGGAATGTTCCGGATACCTGAGAAAGTGTTTAAACTTTGTGAAGACTCGTCAACATGTTTGTTTTGTCCAATCCGTTGGTGCTTCATTCAACCCTTGCAGAAGCCACAAGAAAAGCCCGTTGAAGAGACGTCGAAGTTGATCGCAGAAGTACAGACTATGAAGGCACAGCAAAGGTTTGCAAACTTAGCAGAATAGGAGCTGCGAAGTCCTATGAAGTGGTGTAGCTGTTCTTCCTAGTTGAGAGTCATTCACGTTCTTCATGTTGCCTTGAGATCCTGAAGTATTCTCTCTCTCTCTCACTCGCCTGTTGATGTTTGACTCGGCTGGGCAGGCTGCCCTCAGACAAGAAGAGGCTGGGCGTTGAGCACAGACTCGCATACAGATACAATCAGATACAATTAGATATTTTGGGTGTATATATATATATATATACATAGCAGTGTCCCACGAAGCTAGGACCAACTGCACCAGCTACGCAAAGCCTTGAACAAGGCTGGGCAATTCGATCTTGTTGGTGGAAGAATGTGGACCAGCGGAGGTTATTTGCTCCTAGTAGCGGCCAGGAGCTACTAGTAGCTTCTTGCTCCTAGTAGCGATGCCAGGAGCCCCTAGTAGCGTCCTTGCTACTAGTAGTAGGGCCAGGAGCCCCTAGTAGCGTCTCGTTACTAGTATCCCTTTATGCAATTTGTGACCGTCCGATGACGAGGACTCCTCACCTTCACCAACAGAAACCGCCTTCTCTGGCCCTGGGTCACCGCAGGCTCGTGAGCTATCTCCGTCCCTTTTGTTCGAGCCATTTGCTCACTGTCGGGAGTCAGGGTCGGGACCCAGCACATCCCAGTGTCTCAAGTGGACGTTTTTGATGACATGGGACATGTGCATTCTTTGCATGCATGTCTGTGCTGACTTATTGAGAAGACAACCCTGATGGTCGCATGGGCCGAGCGGCGATGTTCGAAGTGTCTTCGCAATCCAAGTCAAGAACGGTGCACCCAAGATTCAAGGAGACAATTGTCTTTAAAACTTGTAGAGACATGTTTTCTTGCATTCTCGCGACATGCAGAACGCCGTTTCCCTTGTGTTTCAAGCCAAAGATGAGTCAATGATAGTCAACGTGCACGTCAAGCCAGGGGTTGCGACCTGAAGAGCAGAAGAGCACAGGTTTAGTTTGATTGCCCGAGCCAAATCCAGGAATCCTACTCAGGGGGAAAATGAGTCAGGAGAATGAAAGAGGTTGAAAGAGGCGACTTATTCTTCTGGGGCAGATCAACCTTTTATTCTCTCACTCGCTCAACCGTTGGAAAGTTCCGCCTTTTGCACGCTGCAAAGAGAGGCTTACTCGGCGTATCATTTGGTGTCCAGTGTTGGACCTTCGAACGCTCAGAAGATCAAACACTGAAGTCAGGAAGAAGTGCTACAGCTCCCGAACGCGGTTCCGGAGAAGGTACGGCGGACAGTTGTCGGTGAGTGTGCGACTTCTCGAATTCTGGAGACTGTGAAGAAAAGCTGCAAAAACAGAAGTCGCTCATTCTGTCACACCCAGGGAAAACCCTATGAATATGAATATTATGAATTGTTTTGAGTTACATCAGAGGCTTCCCCACAACTTCTGTACACTCTAGAGGCCATGCCTTCTTTGAGTTTTTTTTGTTCCGTTTTTGGTCGCTGAAGAAACGACCTCCCGCTGCTGTGGCGAGGACTCAGCACCTTCACCGACGGAATCTATCTCGACCGGGCCAGTGAAGGCTTGTTAAGTCAGACGAGCGAAGCTATATGCAACGTGACAACACTTGCTGATTGAGTATTTCTTAGATTAGATGGACCTTGGCAACTGAAAACAAGCACTGGAGTTTAATCTAGATGCCCCGTGAGATTGTCAGGCGAAGAAGAAGGGTGGCATACTCCCATCTTGGATGCGAAACCTGATTGACAAGGCCACCAAGAACTGGTGATTTTGTGTGTGTGATCTTGTCTTGCTCTTTCTTAGGCGAATCAGCTCATGCGTCCTGCGGCAGCCGACTACTTTCCTGAGAAGCAACGCCTCACAACAGCGGTGTCTTGACAGCATGTTTTGTGCCGTGGTGGTCATTGCATTTGCAGATGTGTTCAAAGGACAGCGTGGACGGCAGCGCTGGTTTACAGATACAGAGCCAGGCCCGAGGAAATCTGAAGTTTAGCATAGTTTAGTTTAGCAAAGAATTGAACGTTGAGCCATGTTCCGGACATGTCGAGAGAAGGAAGCTCGGAGTAGATTCCAGAGCTGTGGGGACATACGATAGTGTTTGTGTGTGTGTGTCTTCAAAAAGTACTTGCTTCCGTTTCATGAGACTCAAGACCTGCCCAGTAATGCGACCAGATGAGATGCGTTAGGGCATGAGATGCTTTAGGGTAATCCTTCTACATCCTTCTACCAATTCTGTGAGCAGACCTAGGAGCAAGGACGCTACTAGGGGCTCCTGGCCATACTACTAGGAGCAAGGACGCTATTAGTAACAAGGGCATCGCTACTAGGAGCAAGAACGCTACTAGGGCCTACTAGGGGCTTTACAAGGATGAAGTCTTGCTTTTTGGGCTCGGCGAAACAGGGCTTTCAGGCTCGGCGAGCCTCATTGGTTCGGCGCAACTCAAGGGCAATCACGGCGCCGGGCCTTAAAAAGAGCCGTTCCTCGCTGGCACAAGGGAAAACCATTGAAAAAAGAGGAAAAGACATGTGAGTCAAAAAAACAAACCCGGGAATATGTATTAAGTAAGGAATGTTCCCAGAGGTTCAGAAATCGCTTGGCCACCGCTTGGTATTCTGGTGTTTAAAGTGGGTATGTTACCTCGTCGCGCTAGCAAAACGCAGGGTTGCGCTAGGTTTGGCGCTAGGATCAAGTACTTAGGTAACTTAGAAAAGATTAACAAACAAGAGCTGATTGTAACGGTCACTCACTGGTGCACATACACACGCACACACCCGCACAGGCACAAGAGCAGCAACTGTTTGAAAGGCAGCGCGCGCTGAAAAAGGCAGCAACTGCTTGAAAGGGAGTAACTGTTTGAGAGACGAGAAAGCGAGTTCTTGATCACAGACGTTTGGTGGCCTCATGCACTGGCAGGGAAGCGCGCTAGATCCGCGCTAGACCCGCGCTAGATCCGCGCTAGACCCCTTTGCAACTTTGACCACTTGTCCTAAGTGCTTTCCAGGGTGTATAGTCTTGGCAGTTTGTTTCTGTGTGCAAGAGGATGGCTACTTTCAGCTTCACATTTGGAACCATTGGACTCTGTAAGTAAGAACGCAGCTGTTCAAAGGGCATACACAACATACAACCATATACATGAGCGCATGTTGGGTACATGATGGCCACCGCTTGGAGTTGCTGTGATTTCAACCTAGGATAATGATTTTAGAACGGGTTTTTTCAACTCATGTGAAAGACCATGGAGGACTTACCTTGTGAGAGCTTGTTCACGAGATGAAAGCTCCCCTACTTCCATAGAAGGACACACATGTTGTGTGATGATGATGATGATGTATGATTTTGAAGTCACCACGAGATGAGTTCACAGCGCAACGTTGACAAGATAAACTGACAAAATTATTGATATCGTGAGTGCGCGTAACGAGGGGCCGCAAGTGTCAAATCAAACCGTTCGTGTTTGCTACGACACTGTTCGGGGGTCCTGGAGACTTGCACAGTTAGAAGTTTGGATCCGAGGTACTGCTGGCAATTTGGAGGCGTTGGAACACTCGGTCTGGGGGCTCTGCAGGTCAAGTGATTTACATTTACATGGTTTGCGAAACTTTTGGGTGACTTTTGCCTGAGGTCTCTCTGCCAAATTTGCAAACTGGCAAAGAGAAGGCAAGAGTTGTTGAAGGAAGCAATCAGTTGTCCGAATATCACATAATATCACAACGTCGTTTGAAGAAATATCTCAAGACTGAGCGACAAGCGCTAAGCAAGTTCTTCAATAAGCGCTTTCTAGAAACTGCTTCCAGTTTATTGTTGCAAGCATGTATAGCCATAGCTCCATGCAAAAGACGCCGAAAGTGCATTTCACTGTGCAGTTCATTCCACATTTAATTGTTCTGAACATCCGCCCATCCTGATTTGGAAAGAGCCTCCTCCAACCACGCCTCACTGTGAACTCAGTTCATCACACGCCTCACTCGCCTCTAGTAGCTTCTTGCTACTACTAGAAATGCACTTGTTACTAGTAGCGATGCCCTTTGTTACTAGTAGCTTCTAGCTACTACTATAGTAATTACTATTCACAACATGATTTCCTCTCATTTTTTCAACGAAACCTTTCCTCACAAAGCTGCCCTTCATTCTATTCTCCCGTGGGTCATTTTGCCTGACGCCTCATCTAGTTAAATATCCTTTACGATCCTATACATCAAGGTAGGTCTCAGGGGCCACTAAAGCTCTGGGAGATCATTTTCTTGAGTTTCTCATTCAATCGTTCTTCGCTAACATAGTGCATCAGAAAAGCACTTCACCTTGACAAGGTAGATGTGCCATACAATAGACAACCTTTTCTGAAAATCCTGCGGTAGAGACCAGAGCTGTCCTTCAATTCATACACAAGGAACCTCACACCAGCGCCACTTTGCCTCATTTGACTTCAAGTCGCTTCGCCATCCTGAATCTCTTTTCATCCTGCCTGGGCGGCCTGCCTCTCTCTTCCACCTCGTTCATGCGATTCCTTTGCAATTCAGCAGCTTGCTTGCCTTTAGTTCCCTGAGGAAGGTACTGTTTATGAAATACGCTTCGTTCACACTGTGGGTTCAAGCAACTTCGAATGATATACATTCGACCCTTCGCCTGACTTAGTGATTGGTAGTTTAGTTATGAAATATTATGAAATGATTCGGCCTTTCAAATTGCAAAGTGGACTTGTGCCAAGGGTTATAGAGTGTCGTTAAATTCGAACAGGCCTTCTGCAGGACTGTTGTGCATCCAAAGAATGTGATTGTTTTCGTATTGCTTTTTCATTGCACTCTGTGAGGCCAGAAGGCATTCCACCTTGGCACCCGGTCGCAATCCTGCGCCGTTAGATGGAATGGCGCAAGGTGCAGTGCAGTTTGGAGGGCACAGCCACGATAGCTGGCCCTTTTAGCATTTGTAGTGATTTCAGATTCAGGGCACTTGTTCATAATTGAACAAAATGCAAGCGAGCAATGCCCCATGTAATCCACAATATCATCTCCCATTGCCTCCTGATGTTTGGAGGGGAGGAATTTGCTTGGATTTTGTCCTTCGAATCTGGAATTATCCCAAATTTTCATTTGCGGTTCCAAGAACCCGATGATGATAATAAATGATATCGAATCAACAATTTAAAATATAAGGTATCAATCCAAACCCATAATATATATATATATAAATAATGTTATATAATATATTATAGAATATTTTCTTTATTTATACGACCAATTTATTGAACAATTAAATAGAAGGGATTATTATTTCCGAATTGATTGTTATTGATATTATATTTTCGATAATTTCTCGATAAAATTGTTTAATACCAAAATCGGAAAAGCTAATAATTGATATATGTTGGATTGAATAGATTATTATTGTATTGTGGTGGCGATTTTGTTGTTTGATTTTTTGGTATTATGTTGGTATAATTGATGAATGGATTTTTTTAATTTTGTAAGTTTTAATTTTGTAAGGTATTGATGAATTAAGGAAAAAAAGATATTGAGCAACATATATAGAATAATAATTGAATATAATGTATATTTTGTATGTTTATTTTTATTTTTTTTAATGAATTGAATTTATTTGTTTTAAGATTCAATTGAAGGTAATAATGATTATATATATTTAGGAAATTTAGATATTATTTATTATAAAAAATAATGAATAATATTAAATATTAATGTAAAAAATATAAATAATAAAAATACAAATTGCAATATTTTAAGGGTTGACGAAATATATTTATTTAAACTTATTTTATGGTATTTAATATTTTAAAGGTTCTTATTAATTAGGCGATAGATTCGCGAAGATATGGCAAAAGTAGTGGCTGCAGATTAGGAATGATTCCCCTTTATTAATGTTTTTTCTTAGGTGTAATTAAATAGTAGAAAGGGTTAGCGAATGAATTTTTTGGAATAAATTTAATAAAAATCCCGAATGATTGTTGATACCATTTTAATTAAGAAATTAAAAAATTATTTGATTAAATCGACAAAATACAATATTGAATTTTTTTATGTTTAATAATAATGTTTTTACATATAATTAAATAATAAATCAATCTATATATTGAAACACATAAATATACATTATTCTAGATCCCCACCATTACATTTTAGTCTGATAAATTTTCTGGCATGCATTGAAATATTGTTTCGGTATTCTTTCTGGCATATTTTCTCAGATTCTTTTTGATATTCTTGTTGGCATAGGTTTATTCTTTCTGGCATATTTTCTGATGTTCGTTCATTTAACATTCTTTCTGACGTTGTTTCCGGCATACCTTTTGGGCATTTTTAATCTCTTCTGACATGTTTTCTTGCATATCTTCTGATATTCTATTTGGCATATCTTCTGATATTCTTTCTGGCATCTCTTCTAATATCATTTGTGGCACTCCATCTGGCAGATTTGCTGACATTCTTTCTGACATTCATTCTGGCACTCTATCTGGCATATCTGTTGACATTCTTTCTGGTATATCGAACCTTCTGACATTCTTTTTGATATATTTTCTGGCATATCTTCTGGTATTCTTTATGGTGCATTTTCTGACATTCTCTCTGGCCCATCTATTAATATTCCTCGGTGAACATTCGCGCTCCGCGAATGAATCCACTGGTCACAGGTCACTCCACTTTCTTCAGCCATATATTCCGTGTCCTTTTCTGTCTTTGTAGTTGCGTTTGTGGTTGTGTGTTGTGGTTGTTTGTTGTGGATGTGTCTTTGTGGTTGCGCGGTTGTGATTGTGTCTTTGTAGTTGTGTGTTGTGGATGTGCCTTTGTGGTTGTGCGTTGCGGCTATGTCCTCGTGGTTGTGTGTTTGTGGTTGTGTCTTTGTAGTTGTGTTTCTGGTTATGTCTTCAGTGTAGCGGTTGTGTGTTGTGGTTGTGCGTTGTGGTTTTGTGTTGTGGGTGTGTCTTTGTGGTTGTGTGTGTGGTTGTGTCTTTGTATGGTGTGTGTGCGGTTATGTGTGTTGTGGTTGTGTGTTGTGGATGTGTCTTTGTGGTTGTGTGTTGTGCGTTTGTGTGTTTGTGGTTGCGTGTTTGTGGTTACGTTTGTCACTATGTGTTTGTGGTCGTGTTTTTGGTTGTTGTTGTGGTTGTGGTTGTTGTTGTGGGTTTGTGATTAAGTAATTGTAATTGTGGTTGTGTGTTGTGGATTTGTGTTTGTGGTTGTGTATTGTGGATTTTGTTTTTGTGTTTTTGTGATGTATTTTTTTGTCGTGATGGAGGTCTGGCGGGGGCAGCTTGTCATTGGGAATTGATGGGGGAAATCGAGAAATAATATTATTGAAATATTTTTATTTTGAAAATGAGGGTCAATATTTAATATATGGATTGCATTTAAAAAATTTTATTAAAATTATTTATTTCGAATGATGCCCATCATGACATGTATACATCAATATACAAGGGTTTGAATCGAATTTAACGAAGAACCAACAAATTATCTTGCCAAGAAATGCCCGTATTTCACCTGGCATTCTATTTGGCATATCTTCTTGCAATCTTAGCATATTATCTACCATTCAATCTGCCATTCTATTTGCTAATTTATCTGACATATTGTCTGGCATATTATCTGTCATTCTATTTGGCATATCTTCTGGCATTCTATCGGACATTTTATCTGGCATTCTACCGGGCATTTTATCTGGCATTCTATCTGGCATTCTATTTTCTGGCATTCTATCCGGCAATGTATCTAGCAGTCTATCTGATATATTATTTGGCATATTATCTCGCAAACTATTTGGTTGAGGCCCAGCGGTGCACATTGCGATCGGATCCTTGCGGTTGAGGTCCCGGGATGCACATTGCGATCGGATCTTTGCGGTCGAGGTCCAGGTGCACACTGCG